TTTTTTTTGCTTTCCATTTGCTTGGAAAAGTTTTTTCCATCCCTTCACTTTCAACCTATGTGAGTGTTTTGTTGTGAGGTGGGTCTCTTGTAAAGAAAATATAGATGAGTCATGCTTTCTTATCCAATCAGCTACTCTGTGTCTATCGGAGCATTCAGTCCATTTACATTTAAGGTGATTATTGATATGTACTTGTTTATTGCCATTTTTGTTTAGTGCGGTTACATTTTTCTTCCTATTTCTTCTACTAATTACGGTAGTCCTTTTCACATTTCTTGCAGTGCTGGTTTGGTGCTAATGTATTCCCTTAGCCTTTTTTTTTTGACTGGGAAGCTCTTTATTTGACCTTCTATTTTGAATGACAGCCTTGCTGTGTAGAGTAGTCTTGGATTCAGATCCTTGTTTTTCATGACCTTGATTACTTCATGCCATTCCCTCCTGGCTTATAGTGTTTCTTCTGAGAAGTCAGCTGAGAGACTTATGGGGTTTCCTTTGTAGGTAACCTGTTGCTTATCTCTTGCTTCTTTTAGGATTCTCCCTTTGTCTTTAATTTTTGGCATTTTAATTACTATGTGTCTTGGTGTGGGCCTGTTTGGGTTCTTTTTACTTGGGGCTCTCTGTGCTTCTTGAACTAGAATGCCTTCTTCCTTCACCATATTAGGGAAGTTTTTTGTCATTATTTCTTTGAATATATTCTCTAACCCTTGCTCATTTTCTTCTTCTTCGGGGACTCCTATGATGCGAATATTATTACGTTTCCAGTTGTCCCACAGTTCTCTTAATCTGTCTTCCTGTTTTTTAATTGTTTTTTCCTTTTTGTTTTCTGATTGGTTGATTTTTTCTACCCTGTCTTCTAATTCACTGATCTGGTCCTCAGCTTCCTATACTCTGCTTTTAGACCTTTCAATGTGTTGTTCATTTCTGATATGTCATTTTTGATCTCTTCTTGGTGGTTTTAATTTCCAATTGGTTTATTTTTAGCATTTCTATGTCCTTACTCATGCTGTTGAGCTTCCTCAAGATCATGGCTCTGAATTCTAGCTCTATTAACTTGCCTAAATGCTCCACATTGATCTCATCTTTGATGGAGGTCTCTTGTTCTTTCATTTGGCTTCTGTTTCTGTGTTTCACCATTTTGGCTATCACAGTGGGCTTTGGAGCCTGTCAAGTTTTTCCTGTGGGTGTTGGTGTTCTGCTGTTTGTGGCTCCCTCTCCTGTGTTTAGATGAGCGAGGGAGGACCCATGCTAAACACTGCTGTGAAGTCTTACTTTCGTGGTTAAAGTTGCTAGCCCAGGAAAGGTACTGTTATACTCTAGCTTTTTGCCTGGGGGCTAGCAGTTGAGGTTACTTGAAGAGTTTTGGGTTGTCAGTTGATTGAAAAACTCCCTCAGGTGCTCAGCATAAGGGGATTTCCCAAGGGTGGGGCAGATACTGGTTGTTAATGAGCCTCAATTAGCATTTCAATGGCCCACAGGGTGTGGGTGGATCTCCGAGGGAGGGGCTGCTGCCTCTCTCCAGAGCCCTGGGAAGGAGCAAAATGGCCACCTTCCTGCATGGCAGCAACTGAGCAAAAGCTCTGAGTGCCCTCCAAATCCTCAGTGTCCCACCCAGTTCCAGTCCAGTCTGCCCTTCCTCTGCTGGAGCCCAAGGTGAGTGGCTGTTGCTATTTTAGCCTCTGTCCTGGCTCTGCGCTGTGGAGCCACCTGGGAGTGTAAACCGAGGGCGCCGCTCCCAGCTAAGGCCGCTGCTGCCTGTGGACTCCCAGCCCCTTTCTCGCGCCTTCGCAGTCCTACCAGGATTGAGTCAGTGTCCCTGCAAGCTGCTTTTGTGTTGCTTTTTCCTGTCATTTGTCTGTGTTATAGTTGTAATTCCAGTTTGGTTCTGGGGGATGGTCTGTGTAGCTTCCATTCACTCTGTCGCCATTTTGGAATCTCCCATGCATTTATTTTCTCAACCTCAATGAAAACTGGGGAGATCTCATCTAGGTGGTGATAATGAATAATTGACTCAAAAATAAAATCCTCTTTCCTCACTGGGACCTTGGGTAACTTGACAGGACAGTCATTTTTGGGGAAAGTTTGAGACTGAGAAAATCATTTGGTGTCCTACCACCTTCTCCTCCTCTGCCATTCTTATGCAGATAAAAGCCAGTTTCAAATGAACATGATGGGGATCACTGAAAAGAAATATGAGACTCATAAAAGGGTTGAAATAATAGCCTGCCAGTACTTATGTTTATAAAATACTTGGTGGCTTTGATTTCCCACATTTACTCCAGATCCCACCCTGTGCTTGTTTTTTCTTCTGCCTGGTACACTGCCCTCATCACCCTGTGCTCTCCTTACTGCCTTACTTACTACAAGGCTCATCACCCTCTTTTTCCCATGATACCAGCAGTACTTCTTATATTGCCCTTTGCTCCGGGCCACATCTATCACGCATTAGAGTGATGTGTTCACTCATTCTGTTTATCCCATCCAATGTCATATGTCTACAGTACAGGGAACGGCTTCTACTTTTTCTTTTATCCCCCATGACCCCTTGCTATTAGTGAACACTTAATAAGTATTTACTAAGTTACTAGAATGATTCCCTTTTTACAGATGACAAAACAAATCTAGTTGAGATGAACTAGTAGAGCTTGTAAGTCTAGGATTTAAGACTGTTCAGAACTAAGGTCTTCTGATTCCCAGCCCTATGCTCTTGGCCTCAGTTCATTGTCTCTGTCTGAGCAATGAGCAAGTACTGAGGGGGCGTGTAAAAGGAAGAAAAGTGAAAGCACACATAAATATGCAGAGGCTCAGATGACCCAGCAAATACCAGTTGAGTTACTTTTTACTCTCCCAGAATCCACTTGTGATATCATTTCCCTGTGTCATGGCCTATCTTCCCTAGTTACTCTCGGATGTGAGGGCCACACCCAGTGTGCTGGACTAGAACTCTGGCTGTTCTTTATGGATATTTCTGACAGTGAATAAATACATAGAGATTGCTGATGACTTTTTCAAAATGATACTTTACTGTGTTAACATGTTTTAAATGGGTTTATTTTAAACACATTTAATATATAAGCCTTGCTTTATGTAGGTATATAATAGTAGCGTTCATGTTGCACCCATCACATGGTGACATATTTAAAAATTATTTGTGTACACATCTGTAAATTTGTAAATGAAGATAAAATAAAATGCATTTGTAAATGAAGGAAGTTGTAGTATATGATTATCACCAGACTGGTACCAGGCAGTCTTTAAAAAATTTTTTTTTGTTTTCTTTATTGAGTTTTAGAAAGAGAGGAAGAGAGAGGGAGAGAAAGAAACATTGATGAGAGAGAACATCAATTGGCCACCTCCTGCATGCCCTCCACTGGGGATTTGGCCCACAACCTGGGCATATGCCTTGACTGGGAATCGAATTGGCAACCTCTTGGTGCATGGGTCCACGCTCAACCACTGAGCCACATCGGCCAGGCACCAGACAGTATTTTGTTTTTGTTTTTTCCATCCTCACCAAAGGACATTTTTGCATTTATCTTCAGATAGAGCGGAAGGGAGAAAGGGGAGAAGAGAGAGAGAGAAACATCAATCTGAGAGAGACACATCGACTGGCTGCCACCCACATGTCCCCAACCAGGGCCGGGAACAAACTGCAACCAAGGTACCTGCTCTTAGCGAGAACTGAACCTGGGACTCTCTGGTCCACGGTCCGATGCTCTAACCACTTAGGAAACTGGCCAGGGCGGCACCAGGCAGTATTGTAGTGTCTCGTCATACTTCTCCCTTAATTTCCTTTATAATAGCCTTAGCTTTCTTTCACTTGAAACTGTTTGTTCTTAGCTAATTGCCAAAGCTCTCTTTCAAATTGTTAACTGGGAATAAGTTAAAGTAGTACGTTTACCACGAATATTTGTAATTTAACAGCATATGATTCTCTATTGGTAGATTTCATTAACTGAGTTATGTGGTGAAAAAAACATGTTTTTTGCAGTTATTCTCCATGATATTTAGAAAAATTACATCATGATTGCAACCACCTATTATGTTTAAAAATTAAGCAGGCCTGGATATGGTCATACAAAAAAAAAAAGACCTTGTCATATAAGAATCTATGGTGAGCCCTTGCTGGTTTGGCTCAGGGGTTAGAATATCAGCCTTTGGACCAATGAGTCTCGGGTTTGATTCCGGTCAAGGGCACCTACCTCGGTTGCGGTTCTTCCCGGCCCTGGTCTGGGTGGTGTGGGAGGCAGCCAGTCAATGGGTCCCTCTCACATTGATGTTTCTCCCCCCTCACCTTTCTCCCTCTCTCCCACTCTATCTGAGAATAAATGGAAAATATATCTTTAGGTGAGGATTAAAAAAAAAAAAAAGAATCTATGGTGAAATTTAACTTGGATCACAATTTCTCCTTAGATTTATCCGCATTCCTCTGTAGCAAACCTACATGACATGGTATTTGGCTCTTTTCATGAAAATGTAAAAAATACCCATGCCATAGTCAGCCTTTCCCCTTTTCTAATTATTTGATGGCGATGAAGCTAACATTGAAAGAAAAGTCCCATTTTTGTATATGTGCTGCTGAAGCAAGCACAGGGAAATCCCATTTTTGGAATGAATATTTTTTTCTGGCTTAACTTGTTCTTTCAGTGCCCTTCAGTTCTGTGGCTTCTAATATTAACAGCCTTGACCTTGGGAATCTTTTCCACTCTATGCTATTTGTCAGGAGAGTCTGCCTCTGGTATCACAAATCTTTTCTACAAAGGCCACTAAGACAAGAGTGGATGGAAAACTGACTTGGGGCTACCAAATGTGTTTCTCATTCATTCGATCCCTTTATGTTTGCTTCCAATTATTAATGAAATGGGCACTGGATGAGTCCTCATGAATTTTGCCTATGAGAAAACAAGAACACTGATAGAAAATGCACCACAGTTGTCCAATGAGATGACATGCCTTAACTGACTGTTGATGTATAGAAACTTCGTGGGCCCACAGTGCGCAAACTACCAAGGAGTTCGTAGCAACCACAAAGCTGTGTGACTGCTTGGAGCCACGAGGTTACATTTATTTTGTGCCAAGCGAGGCAGAATGTAACTCTTTAGTCGAGTTACTTCCTCCTTTGAAAAACCAAAAAGACAGTGAATGTAGTTGAAAACAGAGAGACAGATTGTGGCCAAGTTCACAATAGGCCCAGTGAATGGACATTATCTCTGGGTCATGAGTTGTGGTTCTTCAGGAGGGATGGTTGGCCTAGATAGAAGCCACTGAATGAATTCTTCTAACTTGGTCACACTGAGAAAAAATCACCACTTTCCTCCATGGACGAAAGTTAGCTTGATCCATGTACTAAAGTCTGGGTAAATATAGATATTTGACTTTGCCTTTTTAAAGCTTCTTAATGCATTTTGATGGTTACTTTGCTTCAGAATTTTAATTTTGGGAGAAATTGTTTTTTCCTCAATATGATTGGTGGGATCAAAATAACTGGGCGCTTTCTCTGATTCAGCTGAAGAGATTTCAGAGTCTGCAGAGGCCAATGTTTTCTTCAAAGTTTGTAGTTGTATGAGTTTGTGAAGCAGTTCCATCACCTCTTTACCCCTTTCTCCTTCCAGAACTTCTGAACAATGTATGCTGGAGCAAGAATTTTGGTTTTCCAGTTCTTTTATCTTCTTCTTTAAAGCATCAATGTCTTCTTTCATAGAGAAGATGTCTGTAGTCATTGTGCATTGTTTATCTTCATTAACATCCATTCTGGCTGCTAGTACCTCCATCTGCTTCTGATACAAGTTACTTTTTCTCTGGATTTTTGATACTGCACTGACAATTTCAGTCATTTTCCTGAGGAGGTCAGTTTGAGCAGTTTTAATATCTTGGAGCATTCCTATAACATTCGTTTCTTCATCAGTACTAATGTCACTTTGATCACAACCATAGGAAGTTATAATTGGATTTCTAGTTGAATCTGGGAGCTGGTTCTTACAATGATGGTAAACATTATTAAGGGATTGTCTCATCTTGAAGATATTTGAAGTCCACATCTTCCCAGCAGCAGCTTTTACCCTTTTGGTTTGAAGTTTGTACATCTTTTACAATGAGGCAAGACGTTGGGAGACCTGACGAAAATCAAAGAAAGAAACAATGTTATAATTAAATAGTCTTTCTCTTACTATTTGATGGATATCTTTGCTGATAACATTCTAGAATGCCCTATGGAGAACATCAAGGGCAATAGTAGGCACTCTAGTTGGTAGCTTCTTCCAGGGCAGTGTAATTGGAGAGCTCTTGTGAATAATGGTCAGCTACATGGAGTCCTTCATATGGTGATTATTGACCTGATGCTGACGTCACAATGGCTTCTGGCTTCAGATACATTTAAGCTTAGGCCAGTAATTCTCAAAAATTTTGGTCACAGAACTGTTTTTCCTTCATAGAAATTGAGGACCAGAGAACTTTCGTTTATATGGGTTATATCAATTAATATTCCATATTAGAAATTAAAGCTAAGGAAGTCTTAGCATATTAATTTATTAAAGTAAAAAATATTAAAACCATTTCATGTTAACATAAAATAATTATATTTTCCAAAAGAAGAAAATAATAAGAGTGACATTGTTTACATATTTGCAGATGATTTAAATACCTGGATTAGTAGAAGACACCTGGATTCTTCTTGTGGACTATAGGTATTGTGAAATGTTATTCTGGCTGAAGTATATGAAGAAAACAGTCTTTGAGTACTGGGAAGAGGCCAAGCTCATAGTAGCAAGTACAATTTTTCAAAATTCTAATTTTAGCTTGAAATTAAACTTTTAGGTTGCTTTCATTAAAGTGACAGGGTGCCTACATCCATTGTTTTTTTTTTTTCAAAAATGCTTGCCAAATACCCAAATATGAATATCATATTTTGCTGCCAGTTTTTCTTTCATGTAAAAATGATGTTCCATGGTCCTGGCCAGGTAGCTTAGTTGGTTAGACTGTTGTCCCGATTCATCAAGGCTCGATCTCCAGATAGGGCACATATAAGATCAAGCAATGACCCTGGCCGGTTTGGCTCAGCGGTTGGAGCATCGGCCTGCGGTCCTGAGAGACCTGGGTTCGGTTCCCGCTAAGGGCACGTACCTTGGTTGCAGTTTGTCCCCGGCCCTGGTCGGTTGTGTGGGTGGCAGCCACTCGATGTGTTCCTTTCGCATCGATGTTTCTCTCTCTCTCTCTCTGTTCCTCTCTCTCCCTCCCACTCTACCTGAACAAAAAATGGAAAAATGTCCTCCGGTGAGGATAAAAAAAATAAATAAATAAGATCAAGCAATGAATGCATAAATAAGTGGTACAACAAATTGATGTTTTTTTTCTCTCTATTTTTCTCTTTCTCCTTTCCTCTCTCTCTAAACATTGATTTAAGAAGAAAAAAAAGATGTCCCATGAAAAGAGCAGCCAGTTGAGTTTGTAACTCAGACGAGCACTTTTCCTGGAGACGACCACGATACTCTGGTAGCAGCCGAAGTGCTGTAAGTGTACTTCCCACTACATCACACATAATACTAAGAAATATACTGAAGGGTTGAGATTTAATAAAATTAACATTTTTCCTGCTTCATCAAGGACATTCTAGAGCTAAACTGGCTTCTCCTTGCATTCATTTTCCCCCTCTCTGTTGGTACAGTTTAGTGCCATTGCCTTGGTTTGTGCTGCTTTACCCCACCCTTGCTTTTGCAATGCAATTGGCAAAATGCAAATGCCAAGATGGTGAAACAGTCAGATCATGCCCAAATGTCATTTTGAAATATTTTGCTCATCACCTTGAGAACTACTGCCTTAAACGTTTAAAATAATATTATACATTTATCATGTTTCTTCTTATAGTGTTTTAAAAATAACAGTATTTGAAACTCATTCCCTTGGAAATAGTATTCATTTTGTTCATTTTATATATAGAGGTAAAAGTTCACATTTTTCTTCCTTTGGGTACATAAGACTGAATATTTTGGAATTAAAATCACATGAGAACACTGTCTCTCAAGGTGTAGTTTCACTTTATGAAAAAGGATATTTCTTGTAGGATCAGTGCCAATCCCAACCCTCTACTAAGTCATTCTTTCTCCTATTTATGCTTAATTGCAGGGCCAGCTTTTTTTTTTTTTTGCATTTATCTTCAGATAGAGCAGGAGGGAGAAAGGGAAGAAGAGAGAGAGAGAGAGAAACATCGACGTGAAAGAGACACATTGAGTGGTTGACACACATACGACCCCAACCAGGGCTGGGGACAAACTGCAATCGAGGTACGTGCCCTTAGTGGGAACTGAACCTGGGACTCTCTGGTCCACAGGCCGACTCTCTAACCGTTGAGCCAAATCAGCCAGGGCGCAGGACCTTCTTTGAACTAGGTTTTGGTACAAACTCTGAATTTAAGCCAAAGTAATTTAAGAATTTTGTCTTCTTGCCCTAGCCAGTTTTGTTCAGCGGTTAGAGCATTGGTCTGCGGTCCAGAGAGACCCAGGTTCGGTTCCCGCTAAGGGCATGTACTTCGGTTGCAGTTTGTCCCCGGCCCTGGTTGGGTCGTGTGGGTGGCAGCCACTCGATGTGTCCCTTTCACATCGATGTTTCTCTCTCTCTCTCTCCCCCCCTCCCACTCTCTCTGAACAAAATATGGAAAAATGTCCTCCGGTGAGGATGAAAATAAAAAGAATTTTGGCTACTTAATGATATCTGGGATTTTGTTTTACTGTCCTATCTATGAATCCTGTTTAGAAACGTTACCAAAAGTTCTGGAAATCTTTTCTCACTTTGGAAACCTTTTCAAACTCATGCTGAGGAAAGACGTTCTCCAGGAGGCAGATGAGTGGAGGAAGAGCACGCGGGGCCAGCAAGGGGAGTGCGGGGTGGCCTGGCCATTCTCTCCACCGCTGCAGACAGTGCTCAGGGGCTGCGACGTTCTCAAGGGCCAACGGGAATGTTTGAGGGCAGAAAGAAAAAAAATGAGCTCGGAATACTAAAAGAAAGCTGTAAGATTGAAACAATAAATGTTTAATTAAATATCTCCAAAGTGTACCATTATATCATCTTCATTAATTGTTAAATTTAGTATTAAAATTTCATTACATTTGGAGGCAATTTGTAGATTAGGTACTCCCACTTTCCAAGAATTTTCAATTAAATTAGAGGGATTGCTTGTAGCAAATACTCCCTGTGGGTGATATCAGTTAAGACTTACTGGGTACATACCAGACACTGTTCTAAATATTAGCTTATTTAACTGACGTTCAGAGAAATCAAGTAATTATTCTTTCTGCTAAGAAAAATGAGCAGAATCAAATTTCAAATCCTTACGTTCTGGCTCCAGAGTCCTTGTATTTTAGCTCTACTGCCACACAATCATGATAAAAATACCTGTTTGTCAACTCAGAAAGAGACTGGCATTTCATTTTTTTTTTTTTTTTTTTTCGGAAAAATCACACTATATAGTTATATAAGGCATTTTGATTAAAATTGTATTTGTTTAAACAATATGAAAAAACTAAAGGTTTGGTTGGTTATTTTATTTATCACAGCTATTGAAGCTATTCTTGCCTTATTGTAATAGTAGTATAACAACTGTATAATAAAGAACAATAGACTTCAAAATTTTCAGCTAAAGTTATTCATGTCTACTGATTATTATTTTTTAACAAATTAATCTAGTAGGTTTGATACAAACATAAACCTGTCTGAGTTTCTAATTACTTATTTATGAATGTTAAGGAAAGGAGCGTCAGACTGGGGCTTGTTAAACAGTGGAAACCTATCATGGGAGGATGTAATCCTATTGATTTGGGTGAAGTTGTTAGAGCAGTCAAAAAGTGAGTGATGGTTTGACTTTGGGTGGTGGGTACACAGTACAGATTTTGTATCATAGAAATGTACACTTGAAACCTATATGATCCTATTAATCAATGTCTCGCCAATAAATTTAATTTTAAAAAAGTGAATGAAAAACGAGAAATGAGCTGACTCCTACCTTTTGGGTTTCTGCCAGATATATGGAGAAATTTAGAAATAAAATAACATCGAAGACTGGAACCTAATGGTGAGTTCTTACAGAGGAAAAATGTTCTCCAGGAGACATGCTTTTACAGGAATGGTATTTGGAGCCAGAAAGTTCAGAGTTCACGGAGGTCCTGTTTACTAATCCTGTGCTCTTAGTTGAGTCACTAACCTTTCACAAGCCTATACAATTGGACAATAATAGCACCTGTTTCATAGAGTGGTTGAGGATTAAAGTGTTCAGTATTTATAAACCCCTTTCCTCCTTTTCTCTGATTACTTTCTTCTCCTCACTCTTCTTTCAAGTGAAAGTAGGACATGGTTAAGAGCTTTAAGCTCTAGTTTCTCTCTCTCTCTCTCAGTCTATTACTCTGCCTTTCATTTTCTCTCAGTAAAGAGGCCACTCCACCATCTATATGACCATGGCATAAAGCAAGCAGTGCTCACCGTCCCATATACCTACCTGCAGATAAAGCATTTGGATTGGAAGAATTCAAGAATGTAGCAAACAGGGTTGGACAAACCGATATTGAGTGTCCTAGTACAGTTAGTACAACCAGCAATGGCATGGAATAACCATTGGAGAGATGGCTGCAATAACCGATAGTATTATCAATACTTGAAATGCTAGTGCTTTTGAGTAAGTTAACTATAAATTAATTACGGTAGAGTCAAGCTTATTATTTAAAACCTACGCTTTTTACCCTTTATGGATGAAATTTACATCCTTTTTAATATGTTTTTTCTCTTGAGTTGGAGAGAATGGGTAGAGTTACAGCTCCCCTGCCAGCAATTGGACATTATTTGTAACCTTTATGTTACATCTATATTCTCCACGTTTCTCATGTACCCTTAGTGGTTGTGAACATGAAATAATTTTGAAGGTCTTTTATATTTCCCACAAAACTTAGGGTCCAGGTTTATAAGAACCTGAGCCTTCCCACCTGAACATCACCTGTCATGTGCAGAGTGAGATAAACTATTGAGGGAACAGGTACCAAGAAGGTCTTTCAAATTTGATCAGGGGGTAGCTGACCCACGGGGGTAAGAATGTGTTCATCAGAGA